TGGTCCCCAGAGATGGTTCTGATTTATAGTATTTGCTTGGCAGATACAAAGAGGTGCTGTGTATTTTCTATTTATAACTCATAAATATTGAGATTAGCTTTCACACATAATGGACTGGATTATGAGCCGCTTCCCTTTCACAGCTGTATCTGCAGGTTTCTGCAGAAGGAAGAGCACATGGATCCAATGACAATCTTCTCCTTGCAGTTCTTCCTAAGCATTAATTTGGCATAAATAGGTACGGTTTAGGATCTGCTATAATATTTGCTACTTGGCAACAGTTCCTAAGGCAATACCTGAGCCCATGCTAGCTAGGGCATCTCCTCCCCATTGAAATTCCAGGTCTGACCGGCGGGAGCGGTGAGAGGCAGCAACACTGAGAAGATAAGGGGAGGGTACATTGCTTGCTACTAGGATACATTCCTGGTAATTAGATTCACTAAAAGCCAAGCAATACTAGAATAATACACACAAAACAAACCCACATTAGCTTTCAAAGATGTTTAGAAGGAATAAACCATACTGAAATTAATCCTGAAAGGGTGATAAGCTATGCTAAGGCTTACACTTATTATCAGCTACTAAGGGATGACTTTTTGATACAAAACAGTATTTTGCCAGTAATACATACAGGCACTGAAGTTCTTAAAAAAAAAAAAAAAAAAAAAAAAAAAAAAAGCGGCGGCATTTAAGCTGAAGGGCCTGGGTAGGTATACACCTATAACAACAGTCTGAAGGTTCAGAGGGAAAACGCCTTTCAATGTATTCAGGTAATTTATTTCAATGATTGGCTTGGTCAAAGCAGGGAAAGCTGTTGGAAGTTGAAATGAAAGCTTTTACTTCATGTTCAGAACAAAAATGAATGCAAACGGAGGGTATGACTGAATACATGGAAATCTATAGAACTGCCTGCGTAGATGTGTATTAATATTGGGAATCTTCCTCTGCAACAAAAAGAAGCACCATATTTATTGCACAGACCACATTTAGCTGCTAGTCAGACGTGCTGAACAATAAGCAACCATTTTTTCTTTCGAAAATAAGTAAAAACTATAAATACAGAACATGATTAAAATGAATTTAGATAAAGTTCACACTCATTTAAATCTCTATATGAGATCACTACCACTTTGATTTAAATGACTATCTCTTAGGGAAACTGCAGATAATTCCTGCCCTCTTTCTGGAGCAGAAGGCATTGTAAACCTGAATAAAGTATGATAATTCATAGACAACCCTTGTGAACCGAACGGCATTTCTGAGCTGCATTGTGCCCGTATTGAGGAATTAGTCAGACTATGTCTCCATGGCCTGTTTGGAGAGATTAAACTGCAAACTGGTTTTGAAATCTTCCAATTTTGCAAATCATCAAAATGAAATTAAAAAAAAAACCCAAACACCACAGTGACTTGGGAGTCTAAGTTCCCTTGATTTGCTGTAAGACCTAAGCGTCTAAGTCTCATAGACATTTTGGGTTAAGGATACCTATAAAGCCATGTAACCTGAGTTTACCAAATTCAGACAAATAAAAACAATCTCTTTATAGCGTACATTCCTACATATCACCTGCCAGATGTCAGTTTCATTAAAAATGCATTTGCATATAATTTAAATAATTAAAATGCCATTTTAAAACATGCATAATTGTTTGCCAGAGGCCCTTCTCACCAGAAGTAATAATTTCCACTTGTTGTGGTGACTTGATGAGCTAAGGCTGAACAGTTCTAGTGTTTGAGCCAAGGTTTGCCTTAGTCACAGCCTGATGTTGCAATTAAGTTTAAGACCTGGGAGTTTATCGCTCAAATGGGTGATCTCGTTTTGTTATACAAAGTCTAATGAATTTGATGATTACCCTGTTTTCTTTTATTGTCTGTTTCTGAAGTAATTTGTGCTTGGCTTTTGACTGCTAATAAAATTTATGGAAAAGTTCAAAATGCTGGAGATAAAGGCCTTTTTTTTTTTTTGCAGACGTAGAAACCATTAAAAGGGATATATATGCTGACTAGCAGGATTAAGGTTCCACCAGTAGAATTTCACCCTGCAGAAATGCTAGGAAAGGTAGTACTTTCAATCTACTTTGATCGGACTTTTGCTTTTGATATGTACTTTCTTAACTGGGCTCTATATCTGCAAAGCATAAAATATACATAGTGAAAAATCAAGAATGTTTTTAAGCCCGATTAACCACAATTATGGCTGCATGCCAGTTTTTAATAAATTACTAAACAGAAGTGCAGAAGACTACTGAACCACAGTGACTGGTTCTTCATATTGGGACTAAAGATAACATAAACGCTAAAGCTTTCCACACCATTGAGGTGCAAAGGTACAGCAGATATTTATTGGCAGCAGTAATACTCAAGATGTGGAGAGAAGCAGCCAGAGGGAAACTGCAGGGTTGCCCGCCGCTGTGCTGCGAACACTTGGCAGTGCTATGTCAGACCTCCTGCAGGAGCCAGGGTCTTGCTCCTCTTTCCTGCAAGGCAGATAAACTCTATGGAGAGGCGTAAAGGCTGGATGCAAGACAAAGCAGAGCCCTTTCCAAATGCCTGACTTCTGCTTTTCCAGCATCTTCTCCAAAATAGGAGAGAATAACAAAAAGACATATTCTATACTCAAAACCCAGACACTTTTTGTCTATTTTTGACAAAGTTCTAAGATTTTTTTTCCCCACCTGTGTCAACTACATAATTTTCACCTCTTGCTAATGGCTTTCCCTTAGTGACAGTAAGTGCTGTTGAGTACGTAGGTAACATTTGGTTTGAGATCACATTTGATTGTTAACATTTTCCCACCTCCACCGCGACACAAAACTTTCAGTTTTGCAAAATTAAAAGCCATTTTAGTATCTAGAGAAAATAACAAAACTAGTGGGGAAAGTGTTCGCTAATCGAGATAAAATCCTGCCACCTTCATTACCACTTAGCGGTACTGTACTTTGAGAGTAGGTTTTATTTAGTGTGAATAATGACAACAGAATCTCAGCTTGATTTCAAAAGTTATTTCTGCATAATTTATTCAAAAGATAAATTCCCTAATGAAAGATACTGGATCCACTTTAAACCAACATTATTTCATCTATAATTACTGCCTCAGGAATACCGTACTAACTGCCATTTATCACTGTCAGCAACTTTCGAATTCCTGCTACAACCACGGTATCCCATTGGGTTTGTTTGTCTCTGAGAGAACATGACGTTTTTAGTTCGGCATGGCCCTAAAAAAGGAGAACAAAACCTCTCAACCCCTAGAAATACATTTAAATGTCCTCTATGTGCTTCAGCACAGAGAGGAGAGTAAGCCCGTTCATTTCCTTGTAGTCATTTTCAATACAATGCATTATATTTTCCATCTGAAGTTTGTAGAAGGTCTTCAGTTCATTAGTGTTTCCTCTGCCCCCTTCTTTCTTGTCTTATGAGCTGAATACCCATTGTCTATCAGATTTCTTGCAAAGCTTGGAAAAGAGTATAGATGCTCTGGCTCATAGAGCTAAACTTCAGTCAAAAAACCCCACGCTTCCTCATGATGACAATCTTAATCTTTCATTAGGAAACAATTAGGAAGTAAATGTGCTTAAGAACATTAATTCGCAATTGGTTCAGCATGAGCGTTAAGGAAGCCATTAGTTTTGTGTCCTAACCCAGCGTCCATTTTAGACAAGAAAAAGTTAGACTTGATTCAGGTAACGACTACAACAATATTTTGATATCTTTTACTTTATTATGTCTGTTGCTGTCCAGTGGAAAACTTTAGAAACAAGTAAAATAAAATAACAAAAAAAGATTATTAAAGGTAACAGACTTTGTTTCCCATCACTTTGTGAAGGTCCTGCTATTTTTCATCAAAAGTGGTAAATAAAACCTTCAGGCTTGCTCTTAGCAGGTCCCCATTTCTCTGTGTATTTTGGATAGAACTCTTACCTTCTGCTGAGTTCACAATAAAAGCAAAACGCTTTTTTTCTTGTCACTTGCTAATTCAAAATTGGCAATTACGTCATCTGTATGTTAGTGACAGCTGTAAAAGTTTTCCGTTCTAGAGCTGCCCTGGAAATAGCCTCATTCTCAATGGTTGGTAGAAACTGTCTCTTAAACAGAACGTACAGAAAATAAAATTCTCCTGGAAAGACCTCTCTTTACAAAGCATCTTGTTGTTTAATTTGGTCTTAGCTAACTGGCAATTTAGACAGTAACGTGTGCCTGAGAATTCCAGACACAGCAGAGAACAGAAGCCTACACAGAGCTCCACCAGGTCCCCGTGACACAGCCATACCGCAGAGACACAGCCCCGCTATCATGCGTGCTGACTCCATCCTCCCTTAGAGATGGCGTGCACCATCTCACCCACGGTGTGTGTAGCCTTACTACGAGGAAAGGCTACGAAGACTATTTGTAGGTACTGAGCATGTTGGAGATATCAAGCTGACTGATTACCACATGTGCAAGACCGTCGTTTTCATTGCTGGTGTACATGTAAATGCAGAGCACTCCCAACTCTGCGCATGGCAGCAATAACACCTGAGCCCTTCAAATGTAGAAACAATTATCCTAGCACCTCAAGCAGCAGTCGGCATGGTGACCTGCGGTGAGTTTCTCTATTATGTATTATCAGTAACATTGCAGGGAAATGCTCAGGTTTTGTGAGATTAAACGCACAAGGGATTGTAGTCAGATTTTTTTCTCTTGCCTGAACAGTCTTTGTTTATCTCCAGGCAACAAGAGAGAAGGAAAGTACAGAGAGAGTTTGCACTGCCATCTGACTATTTAACTCTTCAGACCTTGTCTCGGAGTGGAATACAGTCTATAATGAAATTCCTTTTTTTAAGCTAGAATGAGTTCTGATATACTCAGTCATGCCCTAACATTCAGAAAACACAAACCGCATTTTTCAGACAGTGAACAAGAGCCCTAATCTTCTCAACCAAGAGATCTCCAATAGAAAATTAGTCGATTTTCTGCCTTTACAAGCCTGAAAAACCTACAAGCAGATTTTCATGCACATACCTGATAGTCCACCAACATCCATCTTCTTCAGGTTCTTTGCCTCCAGAATGACGACAGTCAGTTTGCCAGCAGTAGGCACATAACGGAGGGAGAAGCAGATATCACCCAGTTTTTCTTGCTGTGAAAGCAAACAAGACACGGTGTTATATCATAACCATTTTTTTGTACCTTTTAAAAATGCAATTTTGAAAGCCACACAGAAAATTAACAGGATTGCATCTCAAACTCCTACTGTTAAATAAAACATTCACGCGAACAATATGAGATATCTGCTACAAGTTGCCCAGCTAAAATCCTTGATAATCTCAAGTCTGTTGCAGCAGCTGGAGTCCACAGCAACTACCCTGTTTGGAGCCAAATGACCAGATATGTGCTGGCTGCAAAGTAAGTTATACTGCTCAGCATTTCACCCCTGACAATCAGGGTCCCACAAATACCGTTTGCCCTTTAAACCAAGTCATGACTGGGTATTTTTTTTTTTTCCCAGGTTGTGTTTCAGTGGAAATCAGTTAGCACACCCCCATACACAACCACTAGACTGAAACACTAGACTAGAAACAGTAACATGGGTGTTTCTCATCACACTTTGTCACAAAACCAAAAAGTATAAAAAACACGAAGCACAAAACATTCAGTATAAAAAAGGCATTGTCTCCCATCTGACAGGCAAAAAAAAAAAAGAAAAAAAGAAAAAAAGAGAAGAATAGGAAAAAGGAAGGAAGATAGAGGCTGGGAAAGCTCACTGTGCATCCCTCCTCACAGAGGGAATGGTTGGAAGGATATTTGGTTTCACCTTCAGCCCTGCAGCTTATCATCTGCCAAATGCAACCTTTTGCAATTCATTGCTTAGTACCTTTCTAACATTCCTGGCAAAGAGGGAGAGGCTGAATTATCTTCAGAATTACAGGAACTTTGTTTTAAAAGAAGGAATAATAGATTTGAACTTGCAGATATGAGAGAGAGAAAGAGAGAGAGAGAGAGAAAAAAAGAGTGGAGTGCTGCTTAGAAATGATCACTAGGATGATCTGAGCTGCTTTCCTCCTCCTTTTCAGGCACAGTGGTATCTCCAGGGGGGTAAAAAAGTTGCTTTTGAGACAAGAAGAATCAGGTTACACTGAACAGTCCAATAAAGCATTTCAGACAGCAATGTTTCTCTTTCAAAGACAGTAGTTCTTATGGCACATGTCAGTTTCCACAATTTATTCTGGCAGTAGAGTACAAAGCGCATTTCTACCAAGATATATCTCTCCAGTGTTTTGTTAGAATAAATTGGAAGGTTGGTTGTTGAAAAGTTTTGGAGGTGTATCCAAGCTTTTCATTAAGACACTAGGTAACTTTTGCAGGAATTGTGCACCTTTCCCCCATACAGAATCACAGAATGGTCAGGGTTGGAAGGGACCTCTGGAGATCATCTAGTCCAACCCCCCTGCCAGAGCAGGGTCACCTACAACAGGTAAACTACAAATGCAAAAAGAACATGGCAATTTACCAGGTTCAAAGAGCCAAGGGTAAAGAGCCAAAGTCAGAACCCTACCTAAAAAAGATGGGGGAACTCTACCGAGAGCTACTGCTATATATTTTCATGGATGTAGTGGCCATTTCCTAGAGAAAAGACAGCCCATGTCCTAAGGAATTTACCATGTAAAAGGAACCAAAATGTTCCTTTCCAACCTGGAGCTCAAGCTTCCAAGCCATTTAAGAGAAACCGAACTTCATCTGCTAAGTCAAATTTTCAGCATCAGTGGCAGTTGTTCTCTCAATAGCTCTTACACACAACCACTTTTTATCCAGGTTTGGATAAGCATCTGCAGTATATCCATCTGAAGGATGCATACCAGATACTCAGCTATACTTCAGAGTTTACATCTCCCTCCCTTACCAAAAAGGTGTGTGGGCTTGTCTCAGAAGACTTCCTTGGCGATGCAGGATTCTGCTTGTTCCCAACAACGGACTGGAGCAGTATATATTAAGAATGGCATCATGCAGTTATTGTTCTTTTTAATTTTCAAAAACTTAGAAACTGCGATAATAATGCAATACTTATAAAGGGACAGACTCTGAATTGATTATTTTAAGTGGGGAACAAGACCCAGGGTTCTTGTTCTAGATAGTTCTAGATAGTTCCCTACAAAACATCAGCTCAGTGATCACCAGTGCTCGGAAAGCACACAGAGTAAACACAAAGTATGTATAATTTGGAAGTGCTCAGAGAGAACACAACAAACCAGCTTGTGATTTTAAATACAGGCATCACATAGAAAAATGCTGTCAGAACGCACACGTGCCAGTATCTTGAAAAACTTATGGTGCTCTCCCCACCTCAAAAAGATACGGTAGAACTGGAAAAGATTCCAAGAAAAGCAGCAAAAAATCAAAGATATGACACGGCTTCTGCAGAAGGAACAGCTAAGTAGATTAGGACTCTTTAGGCTGGAGAGGGGTTGGTTGGGGAGCAGTATCTTAGAGACCTTGATGCGACCCAGGAGGACTATAATCATGTTATAACCTTGCTCAAAAGAAGAGATACTAATATCAGAAAATTTACATTTTTAACTCATATCTAGAATAACCATGGACTGCACTGCTGTGGAAGGACTTAACTGCTCCTGCCTGTCTGCATATATCATTGTAAATCCCAGTGAAGATTCTGATCACGGAAATACAGATTTCAGCTATGCAATCTCAGCTCTAACTGAGCCTGCAATGGCACAGTGACAGCAAAACATGCTCCTGTTCCCCCGACACTCGGTTTTGGAAGTCCATATTGGCCAGGCTAACAGTGAAGCTGACCTATCACTTGCAGCTTTTTCAGAATAGAAGAAATCAATTGCTTTATTGATTTGTGCTATCATGATCACAGCTCACCCAGCCACCTGGTCTTCTCCGTGGATGCTGTTCTATTATATAGTAGACTTGGTTTACATTAACCTGGATCGTTCATGGGGCTCTGAATAACTGAAATAGGGTATATTTGAAAGCTTGTTTCAGTCCCCCATCTTAGGGACCTTTGTACTCGCGTATCACCCAACATTCAAGGGCTCTGCCCTCACCCCTAGACTCACTAGGCAGAGCTTTGGTAGCAGCACAGGAACTCGTATTCCCTTGTATTCCTCAGAAATAAGCCTCACTGACAGACTATCTAAACATCTATTTTGGACAGTACTCCAAAATCAATACCATTTGTTCCTTTGATTGGATTTTTTTGTTTGTTTGTTTGTACTTGTGTTGAGACTAGAATGTGCTTAGTAAGCATAAAACTGTGTTAGGATTGCTGTTTCTTATCCTAGTGCTTCAGCAGAGGTTGGAGGAGGTACTTTACAAACACAATTATTGCCACGGAGACCATCACCTCTCACCAGCTTTTCCCCATCTGTAATCATGTTATACTTCTGTGCAAATACTGCAATTGTCTACACAGAAGAGTAATTTTATGAGAGCATTTAATGCATTTTTAGCCTCTTTTAATGTGATTTTAGCTGCAGGAAGCACGGAGAAGAAGCTGGCACCATGTAAACAGGCAGTTTTCCATAGATCACCAGCAAGCCGTGGGAAATGGAAGCAGATGATGGGCTCATTCAAGTGAATAACTTGAAGAAAAAGCATAGGTACCTCTTTAAATGCCTACAGAATCACGTTTAGTAATATTTTGTTGTTATTAAAATCTGTATTGACTGCATTTCTTCAATATTTCTTGTACTTTTAACATTTTCTCTTTGCATGACTGCCACGAGTTTTCTATTCCTAAGCTAGTCTGGTGGTGGGTTGTTTTTTTTTTTTGTTTTTTTTTTAATTTTCCCCCTTCATTCTTCTGTCACCCAAAGGGCTTCTTCATTTCCTGGCGCTTCTTGTCCAGACCTCGTTCTCCCACTTACACATCCCTCTGGGATGCAGACGGAGTTTTTTTTGTAATTCTAAAAATATTTGTCAGGCAAAATACTGCGAGTGGCAGCACTGCAATGAAGCAACAAAAAGTAATCACTAGAGGTGTGGTTTGCAGGAGATAATTACAAACCCCTGCAGGGCTATGAGGTACAGATGAGTGCTTCTGGTATGGTGATTATCTCATGGAGGTGCCTTATTGTTATTATGAATTTCTTTCAGCCCTATGTATAAATAATTTATGTTAGTAAATTACTTTGATCTCTGACGGAAACTGTAAGTTAGTGTTAGAAACTTCCAACTGTTCACAGACATTAACCTATTCATGTATAATGCCTAAACACCAATCAATAGACTCTCTCCATCTAAGCAACTTCAAAACTTCATTACATTTAAAGAGGATGCAATGGAGCAGAACATAAATGACATAGACAGCACTGGTAACACCTTTTCACCTTAGAAAAGGCTATTTGAAGTCCTGTTGAGAACCTGGACTTTTTAGAGACTACTCTAAGTGGCTCCTGACCATCTCATGTTTCTTCTCATATTTGTCAGTAGTCATTTTTGCCTTGACAGTACACTCTCCTAATGAGCTAGAGAGAAAAATGCTATTTATGCAGATGACTCTCATTCGCACTGCAGACTCTCTAACAGCGATATCTATCTTCTTAATATAAACATTCTCCATGCTTTTGTGGAAGATATTATGAGAAAGTTGATGCTTGCAGCTCTCTTGGTAAAACAATACCAAAATAACGAGTCACAGTACCATATGCTTTTTCCTAATTGGATCTAAGACTCAAAAATAGTGAGTAGAGGAAGGATATAAGCACAGTGATGGGGGTTTCCAACTTCAATACCAGGTTTTGATTGTGGATATTTGCATAAACCAGAGAGAAACACAATAGGATGTGGTTTGTGGCTGAAGACCCAAAACACAATCTTCCATAAATCAAATTTTCAGTAGAAGCTCATAATGTTCACTGTATATTTTTTGCAGCAACTAAATGTTTTAAAACTCTGTGGAGAAAACAGGAACAGCATAAAGGTGGGTTATAAGCTAAATTAGTCTTTCAAATTAAGGAAACCCACATAAACTGTAATGACAGAATATCTGATCCTAATTCCCACGTCCATGGGCTTCAGACAGTTTTGAGGTTATCGTGTTCTGTTTACACATGGAGATCTCAAATCCAACAAATTCCTTTTCTTGGCATGTAAACCGTGAATACACTAAGC